AACCACAACCACAACCACAACCACAACCACAACCACAACCACAACCAACACCAACGGTCACATACGTATTAAGATTGGATTCTTGCCTCCTCACGAAGCATTGTGACTGGACTTGGAACTTGGACAGTGGAGTGATGCTACTAGGTGCAAACTCGTGTCTTGGGAGCGGCAGGGGTTGTCTGAACACTCCGTGTTTTCACCCTCGTTGCTGGCAGTTGTCTGGTGGCCATTTCTGGTTTCTCTGGAGCCATTGGTCTCTGGTTTGGGTATATCCCATTCCCAGGTTTCAGTGGAAGACGATGGTTAAGGTTGCAGGCCTTTCTTAGAAAGAGTGATACTGTATTCTTTTTGCCGACTGTTACTGTTACAGGCTATTTGACAGGCCCTTTGTTTGGGTGATCAGCGGCAAGACAAGCATGTGTCACGCCAGTTTCTGACTATCAAAGGTCCACAAAGACAGCTCATGACGTACAGCACTGTCCAAGCGTTGCCAAAGAACAAACCGCAAACAAAACGGCAGCAATAACAACTCCTCCTGAACCTTCCTGTTCGTCACAACAAAAGTGGTGCTACAAATAATGCTTCAGGATAAAACCATCACCACTCTTAATCAACGCAACGCAATGTTTCGCATCCGTGGCATATGAAATCTGTTGCCACCGAGACACGAGGCATATCAGGCTCGAGCAGGTCAGCAACCTTGAGGCCTTGCGAAACTCGGTGTCGTCTCAGTGGGATCTCAGTCTTAAGGGGTATAAACTTAGTATAAACATGAGTTTCTAATGCAAAGGCTGCTGTTTCTAGGTACACCAGGTTTGTACATGTTGTGATTAACATATCCTACAGTTGTTGTGGCGCATACTTGCCTCAAAGATCTACACTTCCGTCCTTTTCAAGATCCGGCATCATGAACCAATTAAAATCCTAGGCAAACTAACAAAGTTCAGAATAAGTGTATGCTGATAGTTGTTGGCAGTTGACAAGGCTCGCTCTGAATATAGTTCCACCCAGGAGTGTGGTCACGGTCTAGTCAACACGATCTTGTCTTTCTCGCAGCTCTCACAGCTCATTCCTACTTTCGTGGAGAGTTCCATACATACGGATGCCGAAGAAAACCCTGGCAAACGATCCCGTGATACATTCGCCCCCAAAAGCGAAAGTCGCCCCTTCTTACCGTCCACGAGTCCTGGGGCCCTTCCACTCTTTTTCAACAGATCTCCGCCCCCCCAAAAAAAAATATAACACAACTGATATATCTCGATCCACACATCTTCCAATATCTTGCCACTCTACAAGCAAACCCACCCCACCACCCCAAGCGGAGCAGCACTCATGTGGCGCACGCAGCGCTGCGCCGCATGCGCACCACGTCTCCGCGTCTGCCCCGCGTCGGGCGTGATCCCGTCGTCCGGCGCCTCGGCCCTTGCGGTCCTTCTCCGCCTTCTCCTCGTGAATCTGCCGGAAGATCAAGCGCCAGGTGAGGAGAACCTGCAGAAAAGCCAAGCCACCCGGAGAAATGCTCGGAGGTTCAGGGTGCTTGGTGCGCGAGCTTTTTGGGGGGGTCAGCGAAGTTTGAGGGAGAATTTGCTACCTAGCATGGCTTGCGAGGATTTCTTGAAGTGCCAACAAGTGTAAGCAGGTCAGGTCAGCTGAATCTTTGGGAACTTCCTGACCCTGACATGCACCTAGCAGCTAGCACCCATCCCTTGAGGGCCAGCTTTGAATGACTATACCCAACCTGGAACAGCTCGGGCGATAAGTCTGGAAGGTGAATCCTCCAAAAAAGATCCTTTAAAGGAAGAACTGGATTACTGTATCAGCTAGTACCTCAAAGAAAGAACTCTTACACACTGGATCTTCAAAGGAAGAACTCTATTCTCCAAAGAGGCTCTTACATGTTCTTACATGTCCTTGTGAGTGCATCATGACAATGCCCCGATTCTCCAAGTACGGCATGGCTTTGGAACTGGTGAATCCAACTTCAACGTCATTGTACGAGGTCACGGTCCGGGGTAGACATCGGACCCCTGGTTTGATCGGACAGGACGTCATCATTGCGTGGTTGGACGTCACCGTCCATTGCGTTTCGCGCAGCCCGCACGCGAGAGACAGTGGCTGCGCCTCTCTGCACTTGTCGATGATGTAGAGGCCTTCTTCGTACTTCGCCAGAGCTGCACTATGCTTCCCATCTTTCATGCGCACCTGTGCAAGGCCACAAAAATGTTGAAAAAGGGGGAGGTTCAAAGGTCAAGCTCGGCACTTTGGGATCACCGTTTTGAAGTGTTGGCAATTTTCCCATTGCAAGGGCATGTATATGGCGCCCCAAAGGTTTTGGACATAGTCTTGATGTCATGTCATTCCAAGCAGTACTCCTCCTCCGGAAAAAAATGGTGCCAAGGCAGTCGTTCCAAACGCCATGTTCCTACCGTTGATGGAAGGCCTTTCTTGAAAATCCAATCGACTTTATTGACGGCTTAGAGGTTTCAAGAGCTCCTTTTTGCGCTTCTTTCAGGAAGCGCCCTCTCATTTCCGAAACTCGAAGCTCCGAACATCTCAGAAACCGATCCACATCTCCTTCTCGTCTCGTCTAGACCCCTCTTGTCTCCACCGACCCCCGCCCTTCGACCCCTCTGCGAGTAGAGCTACAGCTCACCCTGCAGCCGTGGCACGTTCCCTTCGTCTTTGCCTAGTTCGAGCGTTTACGCGTTGTTCGCTAAATACTGAATGCCCCGCTGTCTGCGATGTGGTGACCTCATGTTACCTCACCTCACCTCAGAGTCAACCTCCTCTCGTCGTGACTTGATCTACCTCACTTGATGATCCACTGCATGGGGCCTAGTTGACGACCCAGAAATGCTCAACAATATCCAAGGATCCACTTTGCCGACGAGCCGCACATATTTGCTGCCTGAAATAGGACCACTGGTTTTGATTCCAACTTGTAAAGGTCCAGCTTCTTCTCTGGGAACTCATGCTCCGAATCCTTACAACTCACGCCATCACAAAACCCTGAAGACAAGCACACAGTCATGAGTCAAGGCCCGCAAAAGAACGCTGGCCGTCAGAGTGACTGTAACATGACCGTTTTTGTTCACCTTTTCCATTGAACAACACATGTTATCTAGCCAATGGTCATCCACTTAATGACAATAAGATGTAATTGATATAATATCAGACCAGGGGTTATTGACTGACTCAGCTTCTGCCATTCCAGTGCTGAGCGACAGCCATGGATTTGGCATAGAGCATGCGATATTGGCGGATCAAAGGCCTAGGCTTGCCAAGCTCTTCGTATGGCCAAAGGGGTTCAACTGGGCAGTGGCCACACTTCTGGAAAAGTTCTTTCGGCTATGAGAACCATGCAAGTACATGCCTAGATCCGATGATTATAATCCTTAATTCATTCATCTTGATTCATTTTGTTTTGGACGCTTGGAAATCAGTCTCCCCACTCTTCAGAATTGATGCAAACATCCGGGGGAGGCCCACTGGTGCCACTGGCTAGATGGATCCTCAAACACAAGTGATTTGAACGCACAAAAGTCATAAAAGGCAACCACGCGAGATGCTGTATCCAACCTAGAGTTGCAATTTTATCAGCCCATGGCCCATGTTCCTTCTCTTTGGAAAAAAAACAACATATAGTCACACATAATCTCACATGCGACGCATGAAGACCCAGGTCCACCCAGTGAGAAGACTTCGTAAATTGAAGTGGCTCCAGCAGAATTCAGCCAGTCTTCGCAGCTCTGGACTCCCAATGACTCTGAACAAGGCAGGTCCGCTTCGGCGAAGTCTCCAAACCGCTTGAGACAACATGTGTTTCGTCAATCCCCATGGCCGCTTATTATCTGGCTCTCTCCATTCCAAAGCGCCAAACTTTCACCAACCTGCACGTTTGTCGTGTGTGTGTGTTTTTTTTTCTTTTTCTGAAGCCTGGCAGCCAAGAACTCGCTTCAAGACCTTCTACACCGAAACCCGACCATCTCTCAGGCCACATATGGACCTTCCGCACCCTACTGGCCCCCCGCCGGACACGTGCTCTGTCGCTCGCGCAGCCACGCGCGCAGCCGCTGTCCGAGGGACTTGAAGTCTTCCCAAGGCATCGCCGCCGGCAGCTCCGTGCGCCGCATCCGCGCGTCGAAGGGATGCACCCTTCACGGACGGGAGACCGACAGGAGACAGAGATACAAGAGGGACCGACGCAAGCGTCATGAGTCATGACGTATATTGCATGTTGGGCCAAATGGGTTGGTTTATAAGAACGGATGGAGCATGTTGGGGGTGCGCAGGAAAAAAAGGGGGAACCGTCATCGTGTGTTTTCTTTGTTCCTGGTCCAGGGTTGTGTCACGTTGTGTTAGTTCATGTGCACACACCGTCCTCAAGCTTGGCTACTTGGTCTGTGTTTGCAATCTGTAAATTTATTGAAAAGTTGGACAACAATCCCACATCATCCTACATCCCACTGTCAAAAGAAGAACATCTTGCACCCACCTGAGACAATGAAAAAACCTAGCAACGCAGTTGAGTGCGGTCCCGGGTATCTCTCTATCTCCACGCAAATCCGTAGGTCCCTTGGGTCCCTTGATATTACTACAGAACTTCTGGAACTTCTGATGAAATGCTCCTTGAAACTCCTGGAGCACCGCGTCAAGTCTCTCCCCCAGCCAGCCTTAAGACCTGACATCGGTTCTTGCACCGCGTCAAGCTCTGCACATAGTTGTACACCTTTGGCACATACCAGTCGGGCCTTAGTCAACATACACAGGGTTGATGGACAAGAACCCTATCCCACAGTAGATGGAACACTGCAAGAGGAAAATCAAGGGACATGCAACTGGAATATCTTGGAATATGGGATGTCCATGCTTCCCAAATGTATTGTAGATTGTTGTATCTTTTGCTTGGTTTCTCTTTTGTAGGGAAGGCCTGTTGCATGGCTTAAATTCCGATTGACTACTGAGGCGTTGCACCCAAAAAGTCTGTCCATCATTAGTTGATTCAACTAACCATTCGTAATGGGTCGCAGAAATCTCTCACTTACACCACTGTCACTACTCTCTTCCGCGGTGGGGGCACTACTCTCTTCCCCGGCGGCGCCGGAACATCGCTGGGCTTCCGAGCCCATAGTGATCTTCCAGAGGTTGAGCTGGCATGGTGAAAGTCATCAGCTTGCCAAACTCAACACTCTGAGGTGAGAAAGGGCCTGAGGTCATCAGTGGCACATGCGGCACATGTCCGACCCAAACACCACCAAGCACCTATAGGTTCGGCTCTGCTTCTTCCTCTCAGGGCATCTCAAGGTATTGTGTGTCCTTGACCCATTGGTGTTGGAAGGGTTGGACCCCGCAGCCTGTTCCCAAGCACATCTTCTCCAGTGAACCGTGTTTTGGAGACGCTTCCAAATGGTCGAAGGAGCACCCGAAAAGAAGCATTACAAATTCAAGACTTCGATTGTGGTTTTGAGCCACCCTTGAGTCCTGAAAAATAAATACATCATCTCCACTGATATAGATGATGACCACGAGTAGCCCAAAACACCTGACGGCTGGGGTCAATCCTCCCAAACATATCTGAAACCACCACCACCCAGCAAGCCAATCAACCACTCCACACCCTCCACACTACCCGTGCCAAAGCTTTGTGGCTCTCGGTGGGTCTCGTCTGCCATTGGTGGCTACAGCTCTCCAACACCGAGCTGCTATAGCGCCAGCCGGAGGAGGTCTCGGCACCGCCGTCCGCGAAGTCCCAGAGCTGCCCGAACTGCATGGTGAAGACCTCGGCTCCATCGACTTGCCGGTGCCGCGGCCGCGAGCGACGGAGAACCCGGAGACCTGCGGGGGGCTTGGCAAGGTGGAGTCGGGCGTGCACAGTGGTGAGGAGTCGGGAGAGGCAAGGAGAAGGTTGCGAAGCATGAAAGTTCTTGACGTTCCAACAAGCTAAATTCAAAGATCTTGCCGTATGAATTCGTGAAACTAGCACATATATCTCCCACAGAAAGCATTCAAAAGGGGAGACCTTCCCATCAGAAACGGCCACTTGGGGAGCTTGCAGTGTTTGAGTCTACTCCGAGCAGCCAAAATGTCGAAGCGCACGAAGCTGTCTCGATGTGTGAACTTGTACAAGATCGGGAAGGCCATTTCATCGGACCAGCCCTGGCTGCTTTTTGGAGCAAACGCCGCGAGCCGCTCGCTGCGAGAAGGAGCGGTTTCCGGTGCTTGGCTGAGCTGCTAATTCTGCTCATGTTGGAATTCTTCACCAGTGGGGGAACCTTCCCAAAGTGCGACTGCAATTGCTTTTAGAATGGAACGGACCCTGTTTAATGAGCCACCAAATAGTTCAAATAGCGAATCATTCACTTGCAAGTCAGGGTTGCTGAAGTACACACCGCTTCACAACTAATTACCAGCCGTCACCGCTGTTGCCACCCGCCTCTGCAATGTAGTAGCGCGGGCACACCAGAGTCGCCTGAGACATGCGACGTTGTTGTTCTGAGATCTCATTACTTGACAGTATGCAGGGTCAATCAAACATTAAAGAAATATAACCTATATAACATATTATATATAACTTAGACTATGGAAAATGTCCACGTGGCTTGAGAAGTGTGTCTTACTTATTGTTCTCAGTGTACGGCAACAAATGCAGCTGTGAAAACCAGAGCAACCCCTCTAAAACTTCTTGTGCATTTCAGCCAACAAACACAAGATAACACAAGGACAAACACCTGTTGCATGGTTGTATTGATATATTTTTTGTGTTGGAGTCGTCTTTTTCCTGCGAAGTTCTCTCGCCCAAAGTGGCCTGGTTGGGCTTCCCCTCAGCTCCAGCCTGACGTCGGCGCAAGCGTGGAATACTCCCCAAACGCCCCCGAATTGGATTGTAGAAATTATTAGAAATTCATCAACCAGCACCTTCCTGCCGGGGACTCCACTGGAATACCCTACATGAAGGTCCAGGAACCTAGTCTGCAGAACTTGTGTTGTCCAAACACCACCAAGACGGTTTGATTCACCAAACTCATGTGAAGGAGCTGTCACATCAGCTCGTCACACTGCAGGCATCGAATGACTGGACTGGTCTTTTCCGAACCTTTCGGGTTTGGGGTTTGTGACTGGCGTCACTGCCGTCTACATAATCGAAACAATGTTATTCTGGCTTCCCAGAAGCACAGTTTGCATATGTTTTTTTGTCGTAGACAAACCAACTGGTCAAGGCTTTAAGGAAGTCCCCCTTTACTGCACCTCGTCCAACCAGTCTAGATGCCAAATCACAGTCAGTTCGTCTCCTTGTTTCATGATATGTCATTTGATCTACAGCCATTCTGACTGTCCCCATGTATCATGTATACATGCTCGTATTGCTGAGCTTCTGCCTGTGCAGGATTCTCAGTGATCTCCTGGACGGGCTCAAAGCCAAACCTGCACGCAAAACCATCGGGTCGATGAGGTCGATCAGAGAAAAAACCAAAACAACTGGACTAGCCAGCACCACCCTTGCATGGAACATGCATGAAACAATACCTAGTAGATCCTAGTAGGGGGGCTATAAACCACCCGAACTGGTGGTGGTGAGGATCCATCTCTTTCTGAATGTTGCTTCTTGCATGTCGTTAAAGGATTTTGGCTCGTGTCCAAGGCATTCCAAGACTGACCAGTTTGGGATACACATCTTGTGAGGTGCGGGATTTTGTTCATCAAATGCTTTGCGACAGTGTTGGTCAGTATGCATCTGATGTGAACCGCCCAACTCCCTCAAGAATTGCTTGGTGTCTTAAAGCAACCAGTCTTTAACTTTAACTCTTTCACTTTATGAATAGAATTACCATGATGCAAGCCTTTGACCCCGTGAGTCTTGAACATACTTGTCTCCATCGTGAGGATTTGCTGCAGGTCAGGTGGAAGAACAAACCCAATGCATTCGTTTTGATTTGTTGATGCCCACCTCTCTGCAATCCTCTCCTCGTCATGCATTCCCTGGAAAAGTAAATTCAAAGTTGCACACCTGGACTTAACGACTTGAAGAAATGTGAGACATTGACGACTTCTCGGAAGATCCAATCCTTTTCGTTTCATACACACACCATATACTGCTAGAACACGCCAAAGGATGCACTTCACAGCCAGGCGACAACTCCCCCCAAGCGCGACAAGCGCAAACAACGCGCCTGTCGAAGGTGTTGGTCAATAAACTATCTCGCTCCCTGGCAGTGCCTGAGTGTCACAGATCGCAAACACAAGCGCATTCTCCTTCAGACCGGATTGCGGGGGGGGTGGTCCGAAAGAAACCATGGTACGTACCAAACATGAAGAAATGGAACATGTCACTGCTTTCCAACAAAAAGAGTTTGCCCACCCCCTCATGAACTCACGTTTGGGACCGGTTGCGAGTCGCAACGCCGCATCTGGGACCATCCTCGATCGGCCCCTTCGATGAAACCGACGGGCGATGCCACGAGGGGCATTCAGTGCACTGACGTTGGAGAGCCGCCAGGTCCCAGGAATAGATTCCGACGTGAATGTCGTCTTCGTACCTGGGACGGGGCGGGAGGACTGGGACGGGGTTTCAGGTGTACGAAGACGCACATGGATATCAAACACCTGAAATCTGTTCCATGGATGAACTGGTCAAGCTGATTAGAAAGGAATGCAGTGCAAAACCTCAGAAAGCTAATCATGTCATATATCCATCATCCACCAGGAGGAACTTTACTGTCTTCACCAAAAAGTGCAGTTCCCCGAAGGGACATGTTCTCATCTTCCTTTGTGACAGGGCGGTTGATGAGAGGAAGAGACAGCCGCTGAAGCTCAGCAAGCTCTATGTTCTACAGGGTGCGTGTTGCCGTCAACATAGTTTGCCATAAACTTATTAATATGTAGGTTTCTGGTTCACCTGCTTTGCTATGAACCTTCTGCTAATGTTGCACAATTAGCTGCATAGCACTTAGCACCTCCAGTCTTGGTTGCTTTCAACACTTCGCTTTCTCCCCCTTTCTTCCGGACAAACCGTCACTGCTCCCAAGCCAAAGGCGCCCCCCCCCCCCCCCGGATCCGGTCACCGCAGCACCCGGTCCCACCGGTCGTCCGACGCACCGACGCACCACGACGATCCGGCGCACGGCTGGAACTGGCCCTCGCGGAGAGCCGCCATGGCAGAGCCATAGGCGAGGAAGTAGGGCAAGCGAAGCTCCTGTGGAGCGAACTGCAGGGCAGCGCTGCTATGGAGTAGCATATGGATCTATAGTGCATGGCGTATACGGGCAGCGCAGCGCAACTGGGAGTTCTTTCTTGGATCTGTATAACAGGATGGTTTGTCACGTTTGTAAGAGGACTTTCGGTTGGGCTAGCAATCCAAGTGGTAGAGCAAAACGAACAAATCATTTAGAACAGGTAGTTTTTGGGGGTCTCTTTCTCCCTCTCAAGCAGGTAGTAGGCGCCTCTAGGGCTTCCTTTCCCGCAATGAAGGCCTCCATCATGCCTGGGGCGCGGCCGAATCAGGAGGGAGAAAGCTGAAGCAAGTTGAGGGTTCTGATTTTACAATCCTCCCCAAACCTTAAGCCCAAGTCAAAATCTGAAAAACAAACCGAAGCAATTTGCAGATCCAAGCGACCATCAAGGGGTGTTTTTTTGTCCTATCCAGCAGTGAGTGGATGTTCTGGGCACCCCGACTTCCTCCAGGTTTGGCACCCCGACATGTGACTCCTGGTGAATATGTTGGAAGAGATGCACCCCTTATGCGGTGCACATCATTTCACGGTGCACCAGCACGACAAAAACCGATCATCCCTCGCGGACAAGGGACTTCTGCAGACCGACTGAAGCGGCGGAAAAATACACTTCCAGAGTCTGGACCACTGTGTTGATAGGAAAGGACCATAATTGAGGGTGGTTGGTGGTGCAAAATAGAATAGGTGCAGTAGAGAGGTGTCAGGTTCTATAAAGATATCTCTGTTGCACTTCATGTGCCAAATGGTAATTACCATGAAACTAGCAAATTGAAGAGATCCTAATCCAAGCCTCGCCCGATGCTCGGAAAAAAGAACAGCACCACCGCAGCCTCTCGCCACCCCAAGGCTCGGTTGGTTCTCCACCTTCTTTCCCGCACGACGTCACACCGAGCGACGTTCCCGCTTGAGCTTCAGCTCGGTGTTGGTCATGCGGAACCTCGTCGGACATCCGACCGTCGTCGATCCGGTCGATCCGGTCCATCCGGGTGCAGCGGACCACGGTGGAGCGAGCAGACTTCGACGTGTCACATGGGAAAACCAGGGGTCACTGACCAGCTGGGTCGGCTGGGTCAATTCGCTCTACATCGACCTGGACGAAGAAACTGATCGTCAGTTGGTCTGGGTGATCTGAATCGGTAGCTAGTCTGTTCCTCTCCCTTTTGCCTGCTCACGACGCACGATGCTTCGGGTAAGCGACCCGTCCCGCCCGGTGGAGGTCGGGCGTTCGTGCTGTATATGCCTTTCAGGGCCCAGTGGATGATATAGTTAGGTTAGGTTGCAGTCCGACATCTCAAAAAGAGAGTAAGATAATCTTTTAGGGACTGTTATACTGGTAAATAATGGGCTACACCTACACCCTTATGTGGGCTACGCCCTATGTCTACACTCAAAGGCACAAGTTCTCAAAGTGGAGAAGCCTTCTGATTCATGAGGAGCTTGGCAGTTGTTCCTCTTTGAATTCACATCTGGCCTGTGTCCTCAACCCATAAGATGAGAAGGGCCCAAGCCATCCACACCGCACTCTTTCTGCAAAGGCACTTTTTCATCGGCATGGCTGCGAGGGGCTTCCAGTGTGCAACAAACGAACCGCCTCACCCCATTGCTCCGATCTCAAAATCCAGTGTGCAAAATGCTGCATGGGTGGGTAGGTGGGTCGGTTCGGTTCTTGGCCAGCAGCTCGAAATGAAGACTTCTCCTTTGAACTTTACGCGACCGGAAATGCATGCTGTTTTCGGTCAAGAGTCCTATAATTAGCACACTAACACATGTTCAGACTATGGCAACTCACAATTAACAGCAGTGTTCTTCTATACCTTCCGCAGGAAGCCGTATGCTTTCGATGAATTCCCCCAAAACATATCATCATCTCAGCTGTTAATCCAGCTTCGTCTATAACAATAATACCTAACACGTTTAAACGTTTCTGTGAGCCACAGAATACGGTCACTGGGAAACCCGTCGACAGTCCAGTCGAAGAAAGCGTGTTCCACTGGTCCCCAAAGAACAACGACGATCTGAACACGATCTTCCTGGCACATCTGCTTTAACGGTGAAAATCCTCAGAGCTCCAGTCGTACCGAACGAAACGAAGCTATGACTGGACCCTCTAAATCCACCCCAGTCCCACCTTCGTTTCACGAAGGTACGTACGACTGGAGCCCTAGGGAATATGTTTGAATCCCAAACACCCTTCAGGTCTTATTAGAAGCTTCTACGCCACAAAACCAGGTCAACCATTATACTATACTATGGTCTTCGAAGGCTAGGGATCTTAGTAACGCTTAAGTTGGTGGAAACGATCCACACAAGTACCAATTCTCCCAAAGCTCTGAACATGTTCGCTCCACACCGAAAAACACAGAAGCCAACACTTCCCCCAAAAAAGATCAGAAAGTACAATCCCGAAAACTAACATGGACCCTGACGTCTTGGCCCCCTGGAAGATGGTTTTCCTCTACCAACCAGTGGTTTTCAGGGTCCATGTTAGTCTTTTAGGGTGCAAGAAAGCCCCACCACCTTCCATCCTCTCCTTCACCTCCTACGTCCCATGCAAGTCCAGTCTAAACAAACAAAAAAACGCCTCATCCGGCACGGTGCCCGGCGCCACCGGCCCGTCATACGGAAGATGGGCCAGTTCCTCCGTGGTGAGGCCCACCTGGGAGATCCGGCAGCGACGGTCTGTTCGGTGCAGAAGTGTTCTGCCAGACGAAGCAAGAAACAAGTGAGATGATCACTCCTGCAGTCCTGCAATATGTTTGTCATGCAATATGATCACTTTATATGATTACAAGGTTTCGTTGCCTAATGATATAGTATATTGCCAATGTATGTAAATGCTTGAAACAAAAAGGTTTCATCTGCACTTTATATATAGTTAAAGTATATTACAGTTGCTAGCTCCACTGAAGGGCAGAAGGACTGGCTAGTCCAACCCCTCAACTGCTTAGCTGCTTGAACCCCAAGAAATGACATCTCCCATGCAAAAAAGCTGCTTCTTTTCTCCAGATTCCATACACTATCTAACCAGTGCTGCCAGTGCCGTGCAAGCAAATTATCTACAGATTATTATGGCGCTATCTACACATCGCGAGTATCGAATATGTAAAATCTAGAGTCTTTGCCCAATGGGTGCATAGGTTCCTGCTTCGATCGGCGTCTGGAACGTCATTCCTTGGAAAGCCATCGGCCGCAAAGGCTGCAGCACTGGCATGGGCCCCATCAGCTCGTACGCAGGGGCGGTCATCGGCTGGTAGGTTCCCCCCATCTGCATCTGATGGTAGTCTGGCGCAAAGAGAGACGGTTGCTGCAGCTGAGGAACCGGCATATAGGAGGCCTCTCCATCAGCTTCTGCATCTGGAGCTTGAGGAGCTTCAATCTCTTCATGTTTGGACTCGGATTTTACACTGCGTTTCTTCTTCTTTTTGTCATGGGGCATCATCATGTATCCGGCGCCAGCAATCAATGCAGCAGCGGCCCCCCCACCGAGGACACAGTAGAGCGCAGCATGATCAGGACCACCGGACCTCACATCTGCCACCAAGGAGGTCTCTGCCTTGGTTGGGGCACCATCACCATGCTGAAGTGCAGCTGAAACACTGGCCACCGCATCACTTTGCGGTACCAGCGCATCGACGGCCGCATCGGCCGCTGCATTGGCAGCGTGGGCCGCTGCATCAGCAGGTACTGCACTGGCTGTGATGTCTGTGATGGCAGCCACACCAGTTGCATCGACACCGGGGGTGACGGGGGTGACTGGAGTGACTGGGGTGACTGGTGGGGAAACGTTCACGCTTTCCACTTTGGTTGGAGCCACTGCTGCGGTGTTCACAATGGAATCCGCAATGGCGGGATCGAAATCGGGATCTTGACAGCTCTTCGGTCCAGTCACAGCCTGGGCATCTTCTGCCAGAGTCACATCGGCTTGGTTGAAGAGCCAACAGCCACCGGAGGTTGGTGCGGTATCCTTCTTGAAGGAGAACTCTTGACAAATTGGGCTATTCGCACAATTCATGGCACATGTGGCCCAATTCGCCACAAACATGTTCGGAGCTGGTAGAAAGGTGTCCTTCCCAATGGTGCCAGCCTTTAAGCAAGCGGGGCTCTCAGCAGCCGCCAGCGACAAAGCCAGCGCCATCACTAGAACTCGAGACATCAGTATCGACGACTGTGCACTTTGGCACGAAGTACAAAGAGAATTGCTTCGAGCCTGGTACATTCTTGAGTCAAAAGAATATAATGCGTGTAGTGTGTTGATATGATTTTGATCATTGAACACGTATATTAATAACATTCAAAGTCGGCCAATCCACATAAAAGTACTGACTCACTCACCATGCCCAAGTCGCTCTTCGAAGAAAATCCATCTCTCTCCAAAGGTTGGACCTCGCAGAGGTGAGGAAATGCTAAAACCAAGCTATTTCATGGTCAGAAAGACCAGTGGCAACATGTCGCAACCCAAAGTCAGTCACAACTTAGACAAGTTGTGACAAGTTATGACACGTGTCTGCTTCATTTGACACAGGTTGAGCAGGCTGTGTTATCCAGCTAAGTTTGACAGCGGAAGACCCACTTGCCAAGATTTGCCAAGGTAGATGACCCTCTCGCCATGGCTCCAACCCTGTCTTCGCCGCAGCCAAACCCACATCCATGCAGTCCCAGCCGCATGAACCAACGTCCCGTGTGGCCGTTGCCGTGCAAGACGATCCTCATCGGCAGTCCGCGGAGTCCAAAGGTTTTGTTCGCAGCCAACACGTTGGGGCTCCGTAGCTCCGTACCGAACGAAACGAAGCTATCACTGGAACCTCTAAATCCATCCCCGTAACACCCACACACCTGTCGAAACTCACGAAGGTACGGTACGTATGACGGGAGCAAGCTAGAGAGGTTCCTCCGAAAACAAGGGGTGTCCAATCGCCTTGGAGTTTCGGAGACCTCAAGGAGTTCAGGGTGTTCTCTTTTTTCAATCACATGCCGAATTAGACATCGCGCGTTCAAGAACCTAGGCAAGTGCAAACTGGACACATTCTTTTTGTTCATGTTCTCTTTTTTGGGGAGGGGGAGGGTTCTGAAGCATATCGCTAGGTGTATCCCACACCAGCTGGATGATGAGGCCTGATTGCAGGCCTTTCCATCTCAAAAAGAGTGATCATATGTCTTTTATCGACTGTTACAGTACAGGTCATGGGACACAGGTCAGCATATACCGTATAATGACCTTTGTCAGGGCTCAACAGCAGCATTTCCCAGTGCGGTGCCCATCAATTCCCCATGTGTTGAACGGTGCGGGGGCTCGTCTTCCAATTCACAAGCGCGGAGTGGGTCAACACCACAATGGCAACAAAAAACTCCAAGTGCCTATACGTGAAGATGCTGGCAAGCCATCATTGATCATGAATTCTGACGTCGTCCATTGAGTTTCCTTTTTCGGAGATCCTAGAGAAACATCATAATTAATCATAATTAATAAGACACGACATAGAAACCACATGCAAAATGAAGTTGAGCAGGCACTTGAGCTGCAGCTACATCCGGGTTTGGGGTCCAAGAACAGTCAAAGTCCCAACAGAAAACTAGCAAACATTAACAAACAAGACAGTGGATGAGCAGAAAAAGAAGAACCTGTCCATCTTGAGATAACAAAGACAAACATACAACAAAAATACAACAAATTGAAAAGTTTGTTTACATACAATACAATACCTTTCATCATACAATGCCAACAACAATACCAGTCAATATAGGAGACCTATCCTTGGTCGTCTCTCACTGGGTCTCCCCAACGGCTCCTCACCTGTCTGCCGGTTACGCAGCCGAGGAAGTAACTCCCCCGGGCGTGCATCTTCCAGTGTCCACCTCAGCTATAGCCGTGTGGTGCGGAAAAAAGAACAAGAGGACTTCCAATTCAAGCTCCAAGACAAGCTCTATATATGGACTCTTATATAGTAACTCTTATATAGGGACTCTTCTAACTCTTCTATATAGAGACTCTTTTGGGGCGCCAATGTCCACCCCAACCAATTTGCCATTTCGCAAAAAGGCAACCAGTAATTCCTATTACCATTAATATCCAGTAAGCCCTCACTGGATGTTCGACCATCCTCCCCCAAACACGTGTTCCGAAACACAGGGGCCAAGCCTGGTGTTTTTGTTGGGGGGTATACCCAGCTGGGCGCTCCCAACCGCGGGGACGAACGAACGGACGAACTGCTCTTTGGTCCAAGTCGCTGGGCTTCGGCTTCGTAGAGACACTGGAAGATGCGGCACGTGGAGTCCACGAAGTACGGAAGCCTTTTTTGCTCGCTCTGGGGGAGTGGCGAAACGGCTCCGTGCTGCGGCTGGGGAGGCGATGGACATGGACATGGAAGAGATCGATTTCGGGCTGCCAACAACAGCTCAGTGGCTGGTGAGTGGATTGAAAGTTCCAGGTGATGGGGAGTTCTATTGGAATTCAGTTCTCCTGATCAGTTTGATATTTGCTGCGATTAACTGGTGCTTCGATGTGCTTGGTTGTCTTCCATCAAAGGGAAGTGTGTAAGCGTAGAAACTGTTGGTCTGTCACGAGGACAGGAGGCACGACCTGAAGACAAATCTCTTGAAGTACATATTGGAAGGCGGGTCGACCAAGAATACTAGCTTCGGTATTAGATATGATATGATATCTATGTGTATTAGTGTGGGAGGTTTGACCACACACAGAAACACACTTGTGCATGCTTTTCAATTGCAGCAAGTTGAAAAAGAACACACAAATACACTAACAAGGACCTAGGAGTCACAAAGGCTTAAAGGAGTGGTTTTCAGAACCGAGAGTAAGTGAGTGAATGTGAATCATGGACACCCCTAACCTCCATGGAAAGCACCCCTATTGGAACTGCCGGACATGTTTGGATGGTTTCTTTTCTTCGTACGTTCTTGTCTCACCCTTCTCTCTCGCTCTTCCTGAGAGGCCGTCCGGTCTCCTCGTTCGCCTCGGAAGGTCTTCATCAAGGGAAGGTCTTCAGTCTTACGTGGTGCAACATGAAGCTCAGAAGAAATCAAAAGATAAGAAACATCTTCAAGATCGTCTGACTTGTGTTCAAGACTGTGTGGTGTTGCTGGGCATGAAAAAAGAATATGAAACTGACATGATCCCCAAGTATCCCGAAGTAATACTCATTTCTGAGAAGCTGTGACTGGGGTAAGTGCATTGGATAAAGACATTGTTTTCTACATTTGGCCCTCCAAGCAGTTGATCATAGGTTCTCCCTTCAAACAAATTCATGCAAGTTCTGTCCACAGAGAGACGCAATAATCAAGCGACCTGCTGAGTGACGCTGCAAGTTTACAAGTTCAAGCTAGGCCCAGCACATGCTAACAGTTCACATATTATCCGTGCGCGCACAATCACACACACCTCTACAAACATACATTGACAAAGCCACAGGCCATCACAGGCCGGCCACGTCTAAGCTTCTCACCGAGCTCCAGCAGATGCTCGTGCAGCCTGCCCTGCCAAGTTGGTGTTTTCCTTCTATAGTTTGTGATGAATGATTTCCAGTTTAAGGGCTGTAAGATATATTATATATATAGTGTCTCGAACTGGACTGCTGCACCTGATCGTCCCCATCTTCTGGCAAGGTCTCTCCATCACCGGCGCCCGCCAATAGCTCATCGATGAGCTCCAGGACGGGTTCCGCCTCAGTTCTTTTTTATCTGCTGATCTTTGGATCTCTTACAGCTTTCTGCAACACAATCAAAATCACACATGCCACGATACGCACCAACAAACCAGGTGTTCCCACCCCAGACTTGGCTGGGAAAATGGTGTCGAATGGTCTGGCAGAGATGAACGCTGCAAGGCTCAACCAACCCAACATCGACATGGACTGCACCAAACTCAGAGTCAGACCCTTCCGGTCATGCAGCCTCACAAGCAGGATGGTCTGGCCCATCTCTTAGAACAAGTAAAGCTTCAATCCATGCAGAAATCATGTTACATGCCAAACATGCCATCTGAATACCGGAAGGCAGATCAACCGCTGCCATCTGTTTGCACTTCCCAACTTGGACGATGGCGTCCGTGTGTTCCAACCGTCCAAGAAGCAAACAAAACGCAGGATTGGTACCAGTTCGTGCTCTGGAAGCACGTACTCACCTCCAAGATAATTGTCAGGTATCTAAACTACAGGAAACCCTTAATCACTACACTACACTGACTATTTTCGTTTTGCAGTGTATTTAAACCTTACACAAACAAAACCAGCAAATCGAACAAAAATCGTCCTCGACCACCCCTGTCATTCGTCCACCCCGAAACCGTTGGCCGAACCCGAACCGGTCTTCGTCCGTTCGTCGCCTGCGTTGGGATAGCGCCAGGGTGTGCCCGGGTCGGGGTACACGGCATCGATCCGATTGGCCTTGACCCGGAAGGAAGTCGTCCCGTGGTGGGAAGGAAGTTGGGACTGCCAGGGAAGGCCACAGAGAGATGTTTGAGCCCTGCAGGGTGGTTGGGTATACAGTATTAAGGTTCATTATGACGTATATTATATACTTATATTATGTCATAAGTGTGAAAGATTTACAGATCAAAAGGGGTAAAGAAAGTAACGGTGTCTGTTCTGGACTCAATGGGGGAGCTTGGCTACAAGGCCCCCCAAATTTAAGGCAAGCCTCCCAAACCACCTTGATGTTGGGAGCTTTGACTGGAGTCACTATGATTAGGCCAACAAACAAAGGTCGGTCAGTGATTCTCACGCCCAGTTGAGTGCTCACCAACTTACACCAACCCCTCACTCTTGAGATGACCGCCTCTTTATACCACCAGTATCAACCAGTATACTACAACCCCACAACCCCCCCCACCGCCCTGACCCTGACCCTGACCCCTCCCACCGATCCGCGTGTGGCGTCGGTTCCCCGTCCAGCCGCCTTGAAGAAGTCCGGGCCGCAGATCCGTTCGCCTCGCGAGGCAGCACGACCGATCCGGGGTTGGGTTCTGCGGTGCTGCGGCGTGGGTTCCGGGGTTGGTAGCGGTGGGTTCTGTGAGGTGAACCGAGACGTAGGCGTTGAAGACCTGAAGACCACCAGATATAGAGAGAGAGAGAGATCAGAGGCCAATCTATATAGTTATGATTTGGTGGGTAACTGAGACAAGTTTGTATTGCCATGGTCACCTTCAGTGCTTCTCTTCAGTACTATCTCTGCTTGCAATGGCTGGCTTCGTAAATGCCGTTCAGCTCTTTGCTTTGCAGCTCAGGGAGTTGCTCTTGTGCACGGGATGATCGAAGAAGCATGCACAGAAGACGCTGGGTGTAGGTTTTGGTGCTTCCTCATACTTTCCCCAAGAAGTCCTAAAGACATTGTGTGTTTGCCGGCAATAGACCTCCTCCGATATATGCCTACATTCACAAAGAGTAGGAGTATTGATTGAACCCACCACCAAAATCATCCAACATCCAGTCTGTTTCCAGAAATTCCTGCTTGAGAAAGCCAACTTGTTTCCTTCCACCATCCATTCATGGCGGTGCAGGGTGATACATGACTTCATCCATCAGCACAGTTGCACACCCACAAGCACTCCTTGTAAGATCAAAACGGGTCTGACACCAGGCACATCCAGGCACCCACAAGTCTTGCACAGTCTTGCCCTTGTTCCGAGCAACCTTTCTTAAGGACCACACCACCTTTCACATGAACACAATTGGATGTGTATTCCTTCCAAGCTCGACTCCCTGCAAGAAAGGAAGACTCGACCCGTCTACCCCAAAACTCCACGGCCAGGGGGGTCTGTCTCGGTCCAAACACTCCACAGACCCATCCCAAACACGACCTGTCTGTGAATAGGACTACCGATCAGTTGGGGTGGTTGACCTGGGGTCAATGTATGGAGCATATGCCAGTCCCATGGGCCGTGTCTGGGCGTTTTTACTCCTTAAGCCTTCGACCAACGGCTTAAGCCTTCGACCAACGCCTTAAGTCCCACGCCTGCATACCAGGGCTGTGAGGTCGAGAAGGGTGCTGCTGACATCTTGGCGATAAACCTGCACATGTTTTTCTTCTCTTCGGGTCAGACACTGAGACGCTGAGTTCAAGGAAACTGAGACGCTGAGTTCAAGAAACTCTCAGGTCATTAGGCTCTTGGACCATTCTACTTCGCCAAACCTTGAGCCTCTTCCCCAAAAAAACACATCTGTTGAATTCACCAGTCGCCACATGCCGAGCACATATATGAGAACCGGTCACACCGGTGACCTTTGTTCATCCGCACCGTCGCGTCGTCGTGTCGTCGCTTCGGCTGCGTTTCGACGCTCCCGCACTCGCTGGCGGGGCCCACCAGCACGCCTCGAACGAAGAGGATGGGACAAATATATGGTGGTGTTTAGCAGTTGAGTGCGGAGACATGGGAGAGGTGAGCCATTTCTTGAAGTGTTTGATTGTTATCTTTTCCAAAAGATTCTGAGAACATGTCCTGCGCATGCCAAACCTCTGTGAAAGAATTTATGCATTTTAAGGGCAGAACGCACCCTGTCAATCGGTTGAAGATGTCCATTTCTTCTGCGGTAGCAAATGATACCCGACCGCGTCTGTCTGGACTCTTAGTTTACAAATGTTTGACATTGGACGGCATCAGGAGCCCAGTATTCCTAAATCTTGACCCGGAAAATGAGGCTCACGCAAATACGAAGAATGGAAGAACCACAACAGGGAGTCAAGGTTGCAAAAAAAACTCTGCATCCATAAACTGCAGAATCCAATTCTGAAATCCTTTCAACCACCCACTGAGAAAAGTACATGAAACACGAAAGATCAAAATTAAATCGCATCAATTTACTGCTGATTTAACATGAATGTACTGCCGATATACATCATATCACCTGAATTTACTGCGGATGTCTTCTCAGCACCGGACAATCCCAGCCATCAATCAGTAGCACCGGATCCGTCTGCGCGATGCGGCCGGAGGCCAGACCAGCTTGGAGCTCCTGAGACGAATGCGCCAACAAAGCGACAGAAGAATCCATGTCCAACCTGGAGAGTTACTTCTTTTGTTGACGTTCTCGTGGAATCCGTGACCTAAGCAGCTGGAATCCGTGACCCTGAAGAGTCAAACACGATAGTAGACAATTGATGGTTCTTTATTGAAAGTTACAGGTTCTTTACGGCATATGAAAGGGAACTTCCTTTGCTGAGGCAAAATGTAGTCTTTCGACTTCTACAGTAGGGTATAGGGTGTTGTTTCGGGTCAAGCAGTATCTCAGGTCTGGGAATGTCTGCGACATACCTTGTTCCTCTGGGTATATTCATCCATGCATCTCAGCTTTTTGGCAAGATTTCGCCGATTTAACAGTGTTGTTTGCCAAGAACACAATTCAATTACCCGGACCTTCCAACTATACCAAAAAAATCTGGTCGTTTTGGTTCTATGGTCGTTTTGGTCGTTTTGTTTGTTTTGCGTTATTTTGCGGGTGTTTGTGGTCGTTTGCTGTTTTTTGCGTGCGTTTTGCGCTAATTTGCGGTCGTTTTGTCGGTTGCGCTGATTTGCGGGTGTTTGCGCAGAATACCGGGTCAACAACCAAAACTGCTAAACTACCATAATTTTTGGTCGTTGGAAGATCCAGGTATATTCAATTCATGCGCCAATTAATCGAAGGAAGTTGGTGCAACCTCCTTCATTCCGACACGGAAGCCCAATTGTGGGAGCAATGGGTAACGTCTTGTCTTGTTGTTTGATCACCCACCTCATGGATTTCCCAAACCTCGTGATTCCATGTGATTCCAACCTCAAGGTGAGCCCACAAGCATGGTGGATTCCTACGGAGAGTGGCTCCCGTTGGGGGTTTGCTGAGACCCTGTGCTGACAGATCAAGGCACGCAAAAAATCACGGTTCTGGTGCTGACACCGACCAGTGCCATCAAAATTGACTAGCATTCTCCTGGCTGTGAATTTCACAAGCAGCAGGCTGAGATCTCAACCTTCTGATATTGAACCAGCTTGGTGAACCATCCGGCCCATCTTTCCTGGCGCAGCACGCGGCCCTCGCTCGCCTAAGCCTTTTTCCTGTTGAATCCTGGAATCAGGCTTGCCAGGCTTGCAACTCAAAATCATATGTTTATATTCATTTATAACATGTGTATACAGCATGGAGGCCGGGGCCTATAGTGTTGACACCATTTTGACACATCAATTCTACCACCCTCAAATCGCCCCCGCATTTGGAAACCACCGAACGCCGGTCACCGGTCGTTCCGAACGGCTAAGGCGGCCACTCGGAAGCCGCAGAACTGAAACCTGGCGGAAGCAACGGTCTCAAATCGTTTCACCCAGCAGGGGGGGGACGATTTCTTCAGTGAATGACTTTAGACACCATTCAATCACCATTCATGCCATTCATGTCAAATGGCGGTGTTTTCAGGTGGCAAACAGTCAATGAACATATGATTATACAGTGCAGTAAACTGGAATTGGGCGATCTTCACTGAAACAACTTCACTTCCATCTTCCAGGAGAACAAACGGGGATGATCAACCCAAATCGCTTGGGGTGCTCGTGTGAAGAACTGTCCAGTGTCTCCGATCGACCCCTTTCAGTGTCGGTGTTGCGTTTTAGAAATGAAGGTTTGGGTAGGGGGGTCGAAGGTTTGGCGAGGGTCGGGATCTGTCGAATTGGGTCGAACAGGTACATGTGGCATGTCTTTTGAATTCTGAGATGTGTCTCAAAGGTTACGCGCACTTAACCTAGAGCCCGTTTGACCTTTGTTTTGATAGGAAAAGTAGGCCATAGTATGGGTGGTTGGTCCAAAATATAGCGGTCACTGTGGTCACTCAGGCACCACGTTAACACCCAGCGAGTTTCCAGGCACCTATTTGGGCACGGCATCCGTGGTTTGGGAGCTCCAATGAAGAAACCTCCTGTCTCTTCCGGTTTTTGTAGCGTTTCTCTAAATGGGAAGTGGGTTCTCCAAACTCTTCAATCACACTAAATCCGTGAGTCAACATGGTTTTGGAGTTCTTTCAATAAATGCCATTGGTTTACACCTATTTAAACATGTCCAAGACATGGATCAAAACAATGAAAAAACGAGACTTGTGTTGAAACATGCGTCCACCCTGCCTTCCCCCAGAAAGCTGGCCTGTATCCCAGAAGCTTTGCCGTTCTCTGGAGGATGACTGCCTACTAGCGTCGATCGGCGCACAACACCATCCGCGCAGCCGAGCCGGGGCAACTAAGGGAGCGTTCTGATTGACAACTTTGGAGATAGTTTCGTAGGCAAGTTTTTTGCTACAAGCAGCTTCGAAGGCTCTAATATCTCTTAAACCCTCCAACCAATAACACGAAAGACTCGTCTAGAATCTAGAAAAATGAAATGCTTGTCGTTACGTAAGTCCCTCAACCCATCTCAACCCACAACAGGCTCCGCTCCACACCTTAATCAGCACAAACACAGCAAGGTTAGGAATGGTTCCCTGCTTTCTGAAAGGAAACGGGACTCTCAACAACTAGCACCACCACCGAAATGGTGTTTGATGGACCCATCTAACTATGTATTGTCCATCCAATACGTCCAATAGCCATCCTTTGGGTAGTGCTGGAAGTTGAAAGGTGTCCATTCTGAAACACATCAAAAACATCTTGAAAACAAGCCTCTGTCATTTTGAGTCTTCCCGCCCCTCCCGCCCCTCCACTCTCCCCCGTCCACTCTTCACCTCCCAACCCCTTTCGGCCGCCGCCTCGCCTCTTGTCGATACTCGGTGGCGATCGACAAGATGTGCGCGGTCTCTCCCACCTGTTTCCGGTGGGAGCGGTCGGCCGGTCTGTCGGTCGCAGCTGGACGGATGGTACATATCTATCGGAGCTCGAGCTAAAGCAAAGAGAGGGACGTGAGCGATGGAAGTTTTAGGAGATGAGCATGGAGGTGCCGGCGAAAAGAAGCAGAAAGGAGCTGCAGCAGTGAGTTCGAAATGCATTTGATTTCAGATGATTTCAGGCAAACACTCTTCTTGCATTGGCAGTGCATATAGAGACACTACCATGGGTTCCTATATTTCAACTCTCATCTGGGATAGGTGTATCAGTTGTCCTCACAGTTAGAAGAGGTCAGTGAATTGAACCACATAGGCACGAAACGCATTGCAACATGCTGCTGCAGCACCTGGATCTGTGGGCAGCAAGACCTTTTCACATGTGCATTGTCCCCTGCACATAGGCCGCGTTGGGCCACCTCGAGAGTTAAACATTTCGGAATCGTGATTTCATCCAAAGCGACATGCTATTCACATCGCAGCTACTCTCTATTGGATGAAATCTCCGTATGGCCCTGCTCTTTCAGCGACCATTGGCCAATCTCCATGACCCTTCTCAAAAACGACGGCGTCATCTTTTTAGTTAAAGGGTCCGAAATCATGTTTCCTCCCCCGACCCACCTCACCTGACCCGATGAATGTGCCAAGTCACTCTTGAGGATGGTGAGGTCGATGCCAGTGCGCTTGTCATCTATGTGTGCTGAGGTGTTGCGACACTTGGTCATCGTGTCGTAGAGGGACTTTGAGTCTGTGGCTGCAACAAAAGGAAAGCTGGCCAGCTGTGACTCCCATTTATCAATCTGAAGATTGACATCGAACAGCTCGGCCAGCAAGAAGCGATGCCAGTGGAGGTTGCCGATGCCCTGAAGCATCGATTGGCACTCTGCCGACAGGGTATTCACTGTGCAGCGTTTGAGCTTATAGCTCTTCCAACCAGCAATCGTGATGTCCTGCTTGTGGTCAGAGGTTTCTAGATCCTGGTGGTAGTAGAAAAGGAGGTATCCTCCTTGACTGTGTTTCTTAGCCAGTTGGAGGAATCGTTCAGACAGGGGTTGGTTCGTGACCTTCTTGTCCTTGGACTTGAAGAAGGTGGTGGTACCTGTCCATTGGGCACCTAGGTCTTTGAAACCATCTGTCCCATCCCACCTGTCATGTTCGATCTGGCTTCCAGCTTGTGTTCTACGGTCTCTAGTGATCTGGTGCAGATCTGGACCACTTGGATCAATCACTGAACCGGGATGGAAGGTTAAGCGACGTGGTGCGACATGGCGTCGGACCCAGGTTGTGGGTGTTTCCGTCCAGTAGTCCTTGGTGTTGTCACAGTCGGCATTGGGACCGGCATTGGCCCAAGAAGCATCGGTAGCTACTCCGATCCTGAGCTTGGAAAGTGGTATTGGTTGGATTCTTAATCCCAAGTCAGAGGTTCTTCGGAGGTCTTCTGCGATGCTATTTCCTTCTACAATGTCTCGGATCATGGGGTGAGGCATAGTTTGCTGAAGAAGTGAGACTCGTCCAGCAATGTCTGGTCGACATTCTTTGGCCACCCAACTCAGGCCTCCAATGAGCTGCCGAAGCTGTCCGATTTCTTCTTCCGAGCATCGAGAGTATTTTTGAGCTCCACGTTCACGACTGAGAGGGATCTTCTTGATGTAGTTCTCGATGTAGTTCTTTTGGGTAACTCGAATGGACCCGTTGGCTTCCGGAGTTAGTTCCTTGCCAGTGAATTTCCCTTCTCCCGTGGTGAACTTGCCCATCTTGTAGTTCTGTTGAAGCCACTTCATGTTCTTCCAATGTTGTACTCCACCTCCATGGACCATGTCGTCAGTGGCGAGAGCGATGATGCCGACCGTGTTCCTGGTTTGGCGGCATCGGAGGTAGAAAAGACATGGGTCGGCTCGGCTCTTCTCATACCCCAACTCCTGGAGAACCCTGGTGATGTGTTGGTACCAGGCGTAAGGACCATCGGTGAGTCCATAGCACGTTTTCTTCAAGCGTAGGAGTTGCCGTGGATGATATCCTGGAAGTCCTTCAGGGGGGAGTTCGGCATAAAGTTCCCGAGCTATCAGATCTCCAGCATGAAATGCTTGGGTGAAGTCCAGGTGTCCGAGTTCCCATCTCATACTGGATATCACTTGTAAGGTGAAGAAAACAGTTTCTTTTGCGACCTGAGGGGTCGTTGAGGCAAGGTCCTCGGCACCTTGTTCCGAGAAGCCTTTCATGACGTGTCTGGCCTTCGCCTTTTGGGGTCCGAGAGATGGATCATTGTCCTCAATGAGTAGGCCGTCTTGTTGGAGCTTCTCGACTTCCTCCACCTCGACTCCCTTCTCCGTGAGGACGTAGCGGGACTTCATGATCTTCTCCGCTTTGGTTCTCCTGATATGTTCAGATTCACTCCGATCGAGGACCTCGTAGGCACCTGAGCTCAGGTTGTTGGTCACCTCCTTGAGGATGGCCTTGAGAAATTTCTCTTTCTTCTTGGCGGGGAGCTTGTTGAGTACAATCTCCTTGCCCTTTTGTGGTCGAAGCCGGACGAGTTCTTGATATAGTAGTTCCAGGGCTTCTGTCCTGAGTCGTTTGACTGGTGGTTCAGGGTCCTCCACTCTCTCCCGGATCACTGGAGTAGACCGTGGTGACGTGGGTCTCTCCGGGGGCTTGCGGTTGTCCTCATCTTCAATCATCCTTCTCTCACGCTCTTCGTGGGGATCTTGGTCACCTGGTTCGGTAGGTGTGTAGTCATCCATTCTGGGCGACATAGACATAGGTTCCGGATGGTCGAGGTCTCCCTCCACGGCTGGTTCCCTTTCTTCCGGTTTGAACTCGACCTCGGTCTCTGCTGTTTTTCCTTCAATTCGGTATCGAGGTTTCTTTGGTGGTGGTGGTTCCTCTCCGTCAGGTCGATCACGATCTTCTTCTTGTTCTGGTAAGGGTGCATTCTCGATGGCCGGGGGCTTCTCGTCGAGGATGATATAGTTTCTAATCTTGTGGTTCTGGATCTCCTTCTGGGTGTTGACAATGTCGGTCAAGAAGTCCATGAACTGGAACTTTTCGTCATTGGTTATGGGACGAAGGTGCTCGGGAGCTGCTTTCACGAGAGTTCCTCTATAGCTGACCCATATTGTGTTCGGGAGGTCCGTGAGGATGACCTTGCCAGGCCCATGCCAAAAGGCTGGAGAGTCCTTCTTCTGTCGTTCCATTCCCTTTCTCCAGAAGTAGACCGTTTGACCCACCTCATAGTCGTAGAACCGTTTGGGGCCTGCATAGACCGAGTGTTTCAAGGCTTGTTCGCACTCGACTTGATGGAATGCAACAGCGGCTTGGGTTCGAATGTCTGTGGATCGTTGAACTTGTGCATCACCTGCGTGATAACGGGACATCACTCCAATGCTACCTTCACCTCCTTGAAAGATGCCTCCTGGAAGTCTGGGACTGTAACCAAGCATCCGTTGAATGGGGCTGAAGCCGGATTTGTTGGACAGGCGGTTCATGGTAGCGTTGACCTCGTCCACGATGAGGTGCCACTCGTCCCAAGATGAGCAACCTGCTTCCATTAGCGTTTTTGACAGGACTTCTTTAAAGCTTCTACCAGCTCGTTCCGTGATGGCTCTTTGAGTTGGCATCTCTAAAGATCCTGGGTCCAGGTAGATGTCGTTCTGGTCCGCCATGAGCTCGAAGTGTCCTTTGAACTCTTTTCCAAGGTCACAATAGATGGCCTCTGGTGGTCCAAAAACTCTGAGCCACTGGTGAAATGCCCGAACTGCTCCTTGAGGTGTGTGGTCTTTTACAGGGATCATCAACTGAAATCGAGTAGCCCAGCAAACGCAGTTGAGGGCCATCTTGAGTTTGCCGCCCGGTTCAACTCCCGGTAGCCATACGGTGTCCACTCCCACCACCTGGTTTGGTTTCAACTGTCTAGGAGGAGCGGCCTGTCGTGCCCCGTCGACTCTTTTGTGTCTGATGCAAGTCGGGCACACAAGATTCTTGGCGATGTTGATGGCTTCCGTGGAGGCCTTGGCGGTCTTCAGGATGTTTGCTAGTTTTTGGTTTCCTGGGTGTCCTAGTCCGCAGTGCGCTCTCCGAACGAGGCTTTCGATGCTACCTGGTCGTTCAAGAGGTAGAGGTCGTTCAGCGTGAGGGTCTTCTTCCGGTAGTTCATCTTCTCCTAGATCACGAACTGGCAGTGGTTCATGATGATCAGCTTGAGGTCCCTCCTCCGACTCCATTTCTTCGCTCGCCATGATCTCCATGAGTCGGTCCACTTGGTAGCTCTCCTTGAAGAGGTCGTCGGTGTGGGAGACATAGAGCTCCTCGGTGTAGGAGATGGAGGCCTTATATGCCTTAAGGATGTGGTCTACCAGAGCTGTAGGGTACCTAGCCGCGTAGGCTGATCTTTGGATTCCGTGTGAGGATCCAAGGATTGGTCGGTGAGGGTGGTCGCCTGGGCATTCTTTGTGAAGTGCACTGGCCAAGACCTTGTTGTTGCACAACCATCCAGTGGGCTTCTTATGGAAGTCACCCTCGATGGATTTGAGCTCAAACTGGCATTGGTCATTCTTGGTGAGGAAGATAGCCGGATCTTCAAGGAGGGTCCTCAGGCGGTGATCCTGCCAGGCCTTGGATGTCCATGGATGCTCAAATAGAAATGTACCCCCATATTCTGAACCATGTGGCACAGTTCCACCGCAAATCCTAACAACAATTTGGCCTCCATGAGTCTCCTATGGTATTCCCGTTGTTTGTGAGGGTCGGACTCTCGGAATTTAAAACTCAAATTCTGCAACATGGACAGCATGGTGCAAGGAGGGGAGATGCACACCAGCCCTGGTTTATGTTTGTTCAAATACTCGCGGACGGTCCTACGATAGGTTTCCTTAGTCAAGTCATGTCCGAGTTCGAGGTCGAACGCTTCGCCGGCTCGTAAACCATGTCGTTTCGAACGGCTCGAAAAACGATTCGGGTTGTAAACCTCTGCGACCAACTTAGCTTGTTTCTTTCCTGTGGAAGGTCCCAGGAGTTTGGCCAAACGGTGCACGAATTTACAATTCGGAGTTTTTGAATTGGCTACTGTACAGAGCAGCTGGTCAAAGGGATTAGGTCCCTCTGGCTCCTGTAGGCAGGTCATAAGGTTCTGCCACATTTGGTGGGCTTCTGCTAGGGCACCCTGTCCCTGTCGCAGCAAGCGCTTCAACTTCCTACCGCTCAGCTGACTCTCCTCGGCCTTGATCATCCCTGGTAGGGACCGTCCTCCCAAATTCCCCCCGACTGAAGAACTCCCGACTGCTGCAGGCGGCGGGCCATTGCCGGAGTGAGATTGTTCATGTCCTCCTGGTAGATCGGGTAGCGAGGCGGAGGGTATCCCTCTTGGTACTGAGCTCCCGGATGTTGGCGAGTCAGTCGAGTGATGTAGAGGGACTTTTGGTCCTTCTGTTCCTGGCGCTTCTGTGCCTTCTCCATTCCCAGAGGGGTTGGCTCGTCCACTAGGGTCCGGTTGCAGTCCAGACACTTCTCCATGATCTTGAAGGCATTGGTTCCCGCTCGGCTGATGTTCCGATGCGGGCAGCGTCGGGGTAGTGGTGGTACCTGCGGTGTGGTGGACGACGATGGGGCTCCCCTCCTCATAGGTTGTGGTGAAGGCTCCTCCAGGTGATCGAGATCCGGACGGAGTGGTTGTCGATTGCACCACTGGAAGGTGGAGCACTGTACTTGTCGATCCATCGGGCACCTCCAGAAGAGACGGCGGTTGTTCTTCGCCGTGTGACTCAGGAATAGTCGGCATAGGCGTCCATGACCGCATTTGGGCGGCGGTCCAACGATCTCCTTCATCTCTTCGAGCAGCTGAGTCACATCTCCCTGGGAGGACCCGGGACTGGCTTGAAGGAGCTCTGAATTCAAGCTCATTCTCTCCCATGAGGCTTCGCTGGTGGTCCTGGTCGGAGTTCGGGGCGCAGGTGCTCGTTCTTCTTCCGGATCGGGTAATCGATGGCGAGGAGGATGTAGGTCGCGGGCCTCCGTCGGCCGCTTCATTAGGTTCTCGAGCAACACGTTGAGCCCTTGCATGACATAGAGCAACTTCCGAAGCAGGCGGTTCCATCCCCAGAGAGAGGGAAAGTGGGCCTCCTCTCGTGGTCCGAGGTCGCTTCAGCTCCGGCATGGCTTCCATGAGAGGGGGATTGCTTCGGAGGTTCACGCTCGTTGTCAGGGGCTCCGGTTTTGGTCTGTGAAAAACTGTCTGCGGCGGGATCATGTGATTGTTCCGTCTTGAGTACCTCAAATTCTTGGTTGTTGCCGCTGACCTCTTTACTGAGAGATTCCAATTGACCGGGGGTGAACTCACACAACGGAATCCGAAGGGCACCGGTGGGTCCTAGGTGACATTTAACCGTAAACCCTTGCTTCCTGAACCGCACCCGGAGTCCTGTCTCATTATCGAGGTAGATCACCGCCCTACACGAGATGAGGAAGGGCAGGCTGATCAAGAAGGGGGCGGCCACGCTCTCGGGGTTGTCGAAGACGGCCGGCATGAAGTATGAGCCCTTCTGTCCAACGCTTGTCGGAACTGCCGCGACGACTTGGGTGCTCGAGATCCCATGGACGCTCTTGAAACGGTGGGTCTGATCTTTGGTCCTGACTGGGAGTCCAGGAGGGAGACGTTGGGCGAGTCGTTCAAGGGTCTGCCGGCCCACTACCATTCGTTGGCAACCGGTGTCGATGGTTGCGCAACATTCATCGGGATACGGGTTCGATCGGACGGGTTCGGAAACAAGTTTCGGACTTTCCCCATACATAACCCCAAAAATATCGTGATCACTACTGGAGCCACCTTCCCAAGGGTCACCCCGGAGTTCGGCCATATATGCACTCTCGACGTGAGGTGCCATCAGGTGTCGATCACTAGATCCCGGGCCGCCATGACCCGGGACATCTGCGGAGATTCCATCGCTCAGGCGTTCACCTCCAGGGAGAAAAGCACCCTCACCCGGGTGCTCCTCAAGGTGGCCGCAGAAGATGGCCTCTTCCAACACATGGGCTTCCTTCGGGGCTCCACGATCTCGGTCCTTGTCAGGGCATTCCTTGTGCCAGTGACCGGGTTTCCGACAGATGGCGCACTTGGTGACCTTCTTCAACTCCTCCACGGTCATGCGGTAGTTCCCTTCCTTGAAAGGAGCATTGTGCCCCACCATCGTGAAGCTCTTGGTCTTGCCCTTGAAGGTGTTGGAATATCCTCTCGACAGCTCCTTCGCCTTCTTGGCCTTGAGGGTCTGCATGTAGGTCTTCTTCTTCTGCTGCAAAATGGTGCTCAGCACCTCCGCGGCCTCGTGTTCTTCGAGAACACTTCCATCACCATCTTCTCCATCGTGTCCTTCTTCGTCTTCACCTTGGAGGTCTTGAAGCGCCTCCTCCACGGCATAGATCTCGTCATCCTCCGGGTCATTGGGCTCGGCATTGATGTAGTGGGCAGCAGCGGAGGATGTCATTCGAGAGCTCGTGGTCATAGTTCCTTTCTTTTCCTTTTCAATCCCGACCTGCGAGGCCTGGAGCTTTGTCTCGTGCTTGCGGATCCATTCCCGGATGTCTCCGGGTTTGATGGACCCTCGAGAGTAGTTGAGGAGCGACTTGATGTCGGCATCGGAGAGCACCAAGGCGTTAATGAGCAAGAAACCAACGTACCGTTCGGGAAGAACGACGGAATGCTCAGTCACCTTCCTCATTGCCACGTCCCAGCGGCTGAAGAAGGCTCGAAAGTGCTCATCCTTGCCTCGGCGAAGATGGAAGGTGATCTTCGCCAAGGCGGCCAACAGGTCCTCCTCGCGGTCCTCTCCATGAGGGCGATCAACTCATCGCCATTGCCATCGCTGGTCATCCACGCCCGATCCCGGGCGAGATATTTCATGGTCTCGAAGGGGGTCTTCGTCAACTTCTGAAGGAGTAGCGGCCCTCGTGCACGGGGACGGGCCTTGGTGGTAGCAAGCCACAACCTGGCCTTGATGGCATAGTCCTGAAAGGCCAAGGATTCGCCATCCCACTCTGGCGGTGGCCCATTGCTTCCAAAGCTGCTACCACCGTCGCCCAAGTCACTATCGGCACTCCTGGTCGAGCTGCCATGGCGCCGCCGGTGTTGGCGGTGTGGATACCGGGCTCGAAGAAATGCCCGGAACTCATCACTGTCAAAGGCCTCTTCGGCCAGTTCCTCTTCATCCAAGTCACCAGGGCGTGGCAGCCCTTCATCAAACTCCTGGCCTTCCGGCCTCGACGAACCATCGGCTGCTGTCGCAGCCGCAACCGGGGGCATGGCTCAAAGCGAACCACCAACCAGGGACAACCCCAAAACACCCCAAACAAAACCGACCAACCGAGCCAGGTCCAAGGGCCGAACCTGGCTCCGCTACCACTGTGGGCAGCAAGACCTTTTCACATGTGCATTGTCCCCTGCACATAGGCCGCGTTGGGCCACCTCGAGAGTTAAACATTTCGGAATCGTGATTTCATCCAAAGCGACATGCTATTCACAGGATCATATTGGATCCATCTCGCCTGGCCCAAAAGCGCCCAGTTCGTCCAGACCCTTGGCTCGGTCCCAAAGCCATGTCTGACTCGTAGGCAACTCGTTCTTCCCCACGCGCAAGCGCGTGCGTGTTGACACATGCCTCTGAGAGAGATCGAGAAGTGGTTAAGCTTCCTGCAAGCCGGGGAGATCTTGTGAGGATCGTGGTGGGTCAAAAGAAGCTTTGAAGATCCCAAGTTCTTGATTTTCTGGCCATGTGCCATGTTGCAGGGCGCTTTGGGAAGTCTGGGAAAGAGAATGCAGTATACTTGGAAATCGGCCCATTTATCCAATGAATGCACCAGCATTGCATGGCGTTTGTCATGTGATCGATCTTCTGGGTCATCATCCTGTGACCATCTGGGAGGTGCCTCATATCTCATATCCAACAATATCCTCAAAACAGATATGTGACTCCTGACCAGGTGCCTCAAACCAAATCTCATGTGACACCCTCTACTGAACTGACACCTCTTCATCCTGCCCAATCTCTTCATTGCTTCGTGGTCGCTTCCTCACCAAAACAAATATATGAGTCCTTGGAATCAAGCATCAACACGACCACCAACCACACACAATATGATTCAGCATATATCTGAAATACCACCCCGTCATTCCACCACGTCCCAGCCAAGCGGCGGCGACGAAGAGATCGCAGGAGAGGCTTAGCAAGGAGCGGCTCCTGCAGCGCAGCAACAGGCAGCACCCGTCACTGAATCGGCATGAAATCAACATCTTTCGCAAGGGATCTCTCAATGGCATGAGTGTACCATGCCTACTAAGCAAATTGAAAACTTCAGTTGTGACATGAACAACACATATCGTCAATTGGATATATCTCATATCTCCGCTTTCTTGAGGCCACGCAAATCGATGGGTATGGATCCCACAAGCCATGCCAAGCACATTGCGATAGAGAAGTTCTTTTCCCGACACATCTGCGGGCGCACGACACGCTCTACTGTGAGAACACCAACCACATATGGGTCAGAGTTTGGCTTCTCGGTCTTCGACAGTTCCATCTGGGAGTGTCACAGACCATCTGCCCGACTCATAATCAACCTCGACAGCGGCAGGATTGATGTGCATCATGTGTTTCAAAGGAGATTTCTACGGTATATAACCTGAACATTCCAAATCCTTGAACTTCTTCGGGGTTTGCGGAAGTGACGGTTTTTCAAAAAGCGATGAGTTGTGCCGGCAATCTACTAAATTCACTATATATAGTACTGTGTCGTGGTGTCACGGCTTCGTCATTTGGAAGGATTCCACAAACAAATTAACTTAAACTGCTGTTGGCAAAATAATTGCGGTTCACATGTTCTTGAAGCTGGCAGCCACATGGGAGTGGAACTGGCCAGTGGCCTTCCATCCCAACGAATAAACCTATGATAGCCTATGGAATAGTTCTGCACATTCGATGAACCCCACATTCGATGACTTTCATAGAATCACATTTCATCACATTGCCACATTCCACCAACTTGGCTGGACGTTTTGTTTCCTTTTTTTTCCCCTGCGCGACATCGCGCGCTCCACCCACTATACGCATTCTGACATCGGGTTCCACGTCTACGCGCCTGGTACTGACAGCGGCGATAGGCATCATCGTCCCAGGGCATCCGAGGCTTTCGATCCACTCGATCCTGGTAGATGGCCTCCAAACGGATCCAGGTCGATCAACTCGGGTTCTTTGGACACGGTGTTCTTTTTTTTGCGGGGGGGGACTGCGACCAGGCCAAAGCGCTGAGGTGGCACTAAGGATAGTACAACATATAGTATTTAATATCGATGGAATCAAAACCCAAATATGGGTTCGATGATGGTTCAGCAGGTGATAAAACATTATAATGTATATGAAAATTTGATGGGACCATGTTCTTCAAATAGTCTTATTTTGTGATCAACTGCATTAGTAGGTTGGAGGATGACAAACTAAAGCCTGGCCTGAACCACTTTCAATCGTCGGTCATATTGGGAATAGTCTGAGTCAGCCATGCCAGCTTCTCTCATGAGAAGCCGCATATGGTCCCAGGCGTAGCCCGAGATAAAGTGAAGATCCTGTGGAGTGGCCAGATGGAGTTGGTTGTCATTAAACAGTTTTGCAAAGGTGTGGACCATTGGTGTTCTGACAAAACGGCATGTTGTGCCAGCAAAAATTGCCACCAACAAGTCTAGACAAAAACATGAAAACAAACCATCTATCGGATAGGGTGGCAGCAAAACAACCAGAGACATGTCGAAACAAAGCACCACCAAAAAACGTTTGCCCATGATCCTTTTCGCATGCCCAGTCCTGGCTCCGGGCAGCATTGGCACACGCCTGCTGCACCCACTCCTGCCGCTGCTTTCGGCTCGTGAAGGCTTCGCGCAAATGCGAGGCCGCGAAGTAGGCCTGCGCCTCGAACAAGGGCAACGGCGAAGGCACCGCCAGGGGAATTCCCAAGAAGCAAAGGGTGTCGTAGTCCGCGTGGATGATGTGCTGGTACAAGGGCTTGACATATCTCCTTCATGAAAATAATGAGGATTGAAAGCAACCAACACATAACACACAAAAAACAAACTGACAAGCAAAAAACAAGCAAACATACATTCATACATACGTACAGACATACATACACAAACACACCAACAGCTGGTTAGCGTCTACAATCTACAGAAGTTGATAAGTTGATTGCTGAAAAAATGTTCCAGGGAAGCATGAAAGTGAAGAACTCAAGCGTCCGAGGCAACCAATCAACACTTTGTGAAAATCCCTCATGTCAGTGTCAGAGATGCGGCAACCAAAGCACATGTACGGTTGCCATCGACAAGCAAATCTCACAAATCTCTTCCACTCCAAGTAGTGGATCCACGGTGTGAAAGTGCACGACGGACTGAGATGAAACTTGAAACTCAAATGACAACAATATTTAAATTACAAAAGATTCCAACTGATCAAATGACAAACGATTCACATCAACTTCTCAAGTGGTTAAAGCGAAGATGCTGTCACCACCTGCTCCTTCAGTGTCGTGCCAGGCTGTCTGCAATTTTTCCTGGAAAGCCTCAGGCTTGAAATGGTTTGAATGCCATTGAATGCAAACCGGACCAATTCAACTCTGACCGCTGCACGTTTGAATGCAACATAATGCAATCAAGTCACAACTTGCTGCTGCACCAGAACGGCCTGAACTGTCTGAGGTTTAGAAAAGCATCAGCCAAGTTGCCTAATGACCACTCCGTGATCCAAAATGACAAAAGAATATACCAAGGTGCTGGGTCCGGATGGGGTTGGGCGGTTCATAACAAACTCTGTGGCAGTGAAGATCGAATTCAATGCCACCTGAAAAGAAACCAGCCCTGGGCACACCCGAGACCTGCTGCTTGCACCTCTGGAGGTTGCCTCAGACTAGACCACTGGACCAATCGCCCACTGAGCATTGCTACAACACCTGACCGGCTTTTGTCAGCGCCTGGTGAGAAGCTTGCATCTGCACTGACACTGAGATTAAATTGGCCTCGAAAAAACAAGCTTGTGCTCGGCTCAACAGGACCAGAAAGGTACCGACATACTTGGTGGCACAACTGCACAACTTTCCGTAGAGCAGGCAAAGACCTCAAATCTCCCACGCATGCCGAAATGTCAGGACGGCTTCTTTGCGAAGCCCACAGCAGAGCTCCAACTTCTTGTTGCCCTTTGTGAAGCAGCACCCTGTACCCGCACTCTTCACACTCACGGCTTTCAAGTTCTGGCTGCTTTCCTTCTTGGACCGCTGGCAGAAAGAAACTTCCTCAAAGATCCCCGAGCCCGCGTTCCTTCAAGCAATTTCGGATGTAGGGGCGCTGATGACACTCCAAGTCGCCAGCTGTGTTGAAACTCAGCCTCATCCCAGAAATCCCAGCTCACTCTGAGCATTGAGGGACTCTTTCGTTTATCCTGATAGGACTTGTCAGCGGGGTTGAGAAGAGTTCCTCGATCCTTAACCTTCCACATCACCTTGACCTTGTCACGAATTGTGGCAAGATTCACAGCTCCACGGGTCTGACGGTACGAGAGGGCCACCGAAGAGATTTGTAAGCTGCTGTAATAGGCTGGTGTGATATTAGCATGGAAGTTGCCATTGGAAGAAGCAATGAAAACGAGAAAGCTGGGTGCCCCAACCAGCCGTAAGAATTGGCCCCTAGAAGAAGAAGAGCGAGAATAGAAGAAAGCTGGGCCCCAACCAGCTGTAAGAATTGGCCCCTGGAAGGTAGAGAGAAGGACTGTTCAAGTGCAGTTTACTTATGGGCGGACTAGTGGGTAAATTTGAAGTGATGTGGGAACCCTGATGGTTTGGACGCTTATCGTGGTCATTGTTTAGACAGTTTAAAAAAACATGTTGCAATCAACTTATCAATTTCTTGAATATATATATATATATACATTATATAATATACTGCCAAACAGTCAGACTCTATATCTTTATATTAAATACTAGTTCGAAGTGTACCTCCAAACATCACTCTCCTCACGGGGCCAAACTCCATGTTTAAGGCGGTCTCATCCAGAAACGGAAATCGATACGTATAGCCCGTGGCCAAAATCACCGTGTCCACCGGCTCGCCCGACACCAGCTCGCCGGTGGCCGCTAAGATCCGACCCTCTGGTGTGAGGCTGGAACCTAAGGGAAGCCAAGAACAGTGATCCTCACAGGTCACCTCTCGGCATCCGCTTTCCTTGGAAAGGCAAGCGAAAGGCAAGCGAAGGGCGAAGGAAATGAGAGGAGATGGGAGGATGTGCAGAATGAAAGTGAATCACAAAGATTCTGTAGAGTCGTAGAGGGGACTCAACATTACCTGCTTGGCAACACTCAGCAATAATACGACCTCAATACTCCTCCTGATATCTCTTAGATGATTTTCCAAACTGGAATCAAACTCATTCACGTGGGACAGCCAATAAAAATAAGCACTAGCTCGCTAAAAGATGCTAAAAGTACTCCCAGGTGGCTAAGACATAGAGCGAACCCGCGCGGCTTCGGAGCTCTCTTGCAATGTCCACCGCAGAGGAGCGACCTCCAACGATCAGCACCGATCGGCCGTTGAAATCCTGCCGTTGCAACGACCGATCTGGTTGCAACGACCGTCGGGTGCAGAAAGGAATGAGTGTGAGATCTACGGCGAATCTACCACAAACATTTACGTTTTTTACACTGCGCAGCGCAGATTTGCGCAGTAACGAGCTCATTGGATGATTGCCAACCAATAAACGTCACATACTAATCGTGCCACACAAAGAAAGAAACATAGCAATAATGCAAATGATATGCCATTCTATACGGCCCGATGTTAGAACGCTTGCTTCTTTCAGGCCTGATGCCTCAAAAACCGTATATGTTTAAAACACAAATAATTAAAACAAAAAGAACACAAATGGTCACGGAAGGGTCACGGTGCGGTGCGGATCGGCTCGTCCTCTGGATCATTGTACGACAGCGCATGCAGGATTTTCCGCTCGCTGGAGGCCGCCAGCCACTCCTTCTGCCCGGGGAGCTCGGGGCAATAGGGAAACTCATAGTGGCCGCTGGCGACCTCAGAGTCCGCTGTGGAAGCCGACCATCGTATAGGATCCATATCGTTCGAGGGAAGTAAAGTCGCATGTAAGATCCAAGGAAAAAAAGGCATCTGAAGATTCTAGCTGAATCACTGTTTTCAACTGTTCAATAAATTGATCAAAATGGAGCTTGTGTTAGGCGGAGCCCTTCGGATAGCTACCACGGATTGCATCTCTTTCCTTCAAAAAGCCGGTGACGTTCCAAACTGATCGAAGCGGCACAAACGGCATCGAAGTCCTCCGCTTGGGAGCCATCTGTGGAGGTCCAGGACACCTGCAACTGCGGTGCCCCAGCTCGGTCTGCGAGCGATTCCGGGCGCGCCCAAAAGACTTAATATGTCAAGGTGCACCAGCAGGCAAAGGGGGATGATTGCTTGTTGTCTTCTTTTGTGTTCATTGATTGTTTTGACCCTTTTTGCTCCACACGAAGTCAAGAACAAGTAGACCCTGAGATTTGACCCTTTCGTACCCGGAGGGAAGCCTGCCAGGTTTTGTAGGCTTTTACTATCGATCTAATACACGTGTTTTCCGAAATGTCCCTAATGAATCCCCAGTGCTCCAAGGAACTCATATCACAAAATCTCAGTTTTGTCTAAATCTTCGCTTTTGACACCTTGGCACCTGCCATGACTCGTCGTCCTTCTCCTGCCGTTCCACCTTCTCCACGCGCGACTGAAATCGAATGAACTGGCGAAGCTTGAAGTGCTCGGCATAGTCGATGAAATAGGACCCTAACCTCATTCCGACTCCCACAAAGGAAGGGTATTACTTCCCAAAATAAGGGAACCTCCCAGCCGAGTGAAAACATGTTTCAACAGAAAATGGATTTGTACCCTTGAATCAAGTGCCCATGCGCTAGGACACGATCCCTGTTCATGTCTCATCCTAACCCCCTTTCCTTTGGCCAAGATTGATTAATTATGGAGACCCCCGCGAAAAAAGAAAAAAAACAATAATAATGGAGATGGATTCCAAGCTTAAGCATGTTTACCGATCAGTAGATGAAAAAAAGACACATATAATGATCAAAGATTGCTCAATGATTCGAACCTCGCAGCTCAGGGCCTGTCACATAAGAGCTTTTCGCTGAAAAACCCAGATCAAAAGATTGCATACCTGGGCAGCTGGCGAGACGCGTGCGGCTGGGCTTTTGGACCATTCTGGAGTGAGTCCAATGACTAGATCAGGTTGCTATTGGTTTTCTTTGCTGTCTGGGATGCTTAGAGCTCATAGCCCGAAGTCGGAAGAGACTCAATGTGACCGACTAGTTGGGTCCTTCTCTCTCTTCCAGAAGAAAAACTCTAATTAGTGGACAATACATGACAATACATGAAGATATTAAAAGTCATTCTTGATACATAGAACCCAAGGTAAAAGTGCCAGGGTGATCAAAGCCTTTTCAACAAAAAACATGCCCCAAAACTGAATCCAAAGTGGCACATGGTCGGGATGTTGGTCACCAATCCCTTGTAGACCACCTCGTTCATGGGCTTCTCCGCCCAAATGCCACCCACCTCCTCAGCCGCTTCGAAGACCACGGGCCGATGCCCAAAGCGCACCAAGGAGCGGCAGGCCGCCAGGCCGGCGGGGCCTCCACCGATGACGGCGACCTGCGAAGTCAAGATGGGTTGAACGGCCCCAGCATGACGGAGCCTGACCAGTCCACCGTTTTCGAGCGAGCGAAAGGCCGCTGCAGGTGTGATTCAAGGTATATCCTGTTTTTGGGCGGTTTTGCGGAACAGGCTGTGGCCCACCGGTAGTTCGGAGTAGTTTTTTTGTGCCGGCATGCAAGAGTGGTTGGAGCTGAGTCGAGAATCCCGTGCAAATCTCTTCATCAAAACTTGCTGGACCAAGCTCATGACATGCCAAAACCTTTCTGGAATACCTCGGCAAAAAAAAACATGTTGATAACCAAAAACCTCACCCTGATCACAAAACCCCACCAAAACCCCCCAGCCCCCAATCTCAAGGAATTTAACTCCAAGGAGCATCCCGGACCCCCAGACTCCCTTCTCCCCCTTCTCCCCAAGCACCACTCAGGAGCCAAGAACACCCAGCCTTGCGGCTTGCCATGGCGCCCAGCAGCACCACACCAGCTGCCCTGGTCCAGTCCTCTCTCGCGAAGCGCCCGAAGCGCCCGACCGCGCCACCGTGCGGTGCACAGCGATGCGCCAGAGGCACAGCACGTGCGGTCGGGCTCGGGCTTGCAAAGCGTGTGGAGGTAGGCAGTTCAAGCGCCAACATGCAAAAATGGTGCAAAAGTTGATGATGGTTTCTTCATGTTCTTATTTTTTCGTGTTCACGTTTGTTGTGCCCAAGTTGGCGTCGACATGATCTCTAATCCATTTCGACTGGGGGATTCCCTTCGATTCACTTTTGATTAAAACAAGATGTTGTTGTTGTTCGAGAGCAAGGCCTTCAATCTTTGCATGCTTGCGCCAAGACTCTTTAAGACGATAAATGGAAGCTATATACACTAAGCAGTTCTTGTGAACCCGCATCTAGTCGACAGAAGATTTTGATCATTCGATGCATCGAAGCTGTGAGCCTCGCAGCTGTTGAGCCCCAAAACACACGGATATTATCGCGCTCTCCACCGGAGAAAGCGCCCGCCCAAGCAGCGTGCGCCCAAGCAGCGCGCGCCTGCGCTGACGTGCCTCGGAAGAACGCTATAGACTGGGGGGCCGAGATCCGGGTGTTCAGCATGGTCATGAAAAGCCAATGCAGAAGGGACAAACAACGACACACGCAAGGCGTATGCCGTGTTTGTTTGTTGTTGTTTGTTTGTTTGTTTGATTGTTTTTTTGTTTGTTTGTTAGTTAGTTAGTCACTTTGTTTGTTTGTTTGTTTGTTTGTGTGTGTGTTTGTTTGTTTGTTTGTTTGTTTGTTTGATTGTTTGTTTGTTTGTGTGTTTGTTTGTTTGTTTGTTTGTTTCTTTGTTTCTTTGTTTCTTTGTTTGTTTGTTTGTGTGATTGTTTGTTTGTTTGTTTGTTTGTTTCTTTGTTTCTTTGTTTGTTTGTTTTGTGTGTTTTGTTTGTTTTGTTTTGGTTGTTTTGTTTTTTTGTTTGTTGTTTGTTTGTTTGTTTGTTTGTTGCTTGTTGTTGTTGTTGTTGTTGATTTGTTTGTTTGGTTGTTTGTTGGTTGGTTGGTTTGTTTGTTTGTTGTTGTTGTTTGTTGTTTTTGTTGTTGTTTGTTTGTTTGTTTGATTGTTTGTTTGTTTGTTTGTTTGATTGTTTGTTTGTTTGTTTGATTGTTTGTTTGTTTGTTTGTTGTTGTTGTTGTTTATTGTTGTTGTTTGTTGTTGTTGTTTGTTTGTTTGTTTGTTTGTTTGTTTGTTTGTTTGTTTGTTTG